TTTTATTCCTTCTTTTTTTGTGCTCCTTTTTTTTTTTTTTTTTTTTTGGTCAGATATTTGTCTCACTCATAAAGTCTCCCTCACCCGTCCTCTTTAGTTATCCGCGCTTGGGAGTGACAGTGGCATAGTTCGTTTTTTTGGTGGGGGAGGTGGATTCTTTGTGTGTGTGTGTGTGTGTGTGTGTGTGTGTGTGTGTGTGTGTGTGTGTGTGTGTGTGTGTGTGTGTGTGTGTGTGTGTGTGTGTGAGAGACACTTTCCACATTTCTTGTACCAGTGGAGGAATTCGGGTGTTTGTCTGTATGTCCCTCACAATTGCTGCAGCAGCCGTCGATGCTCTTGTAAGGCACCATCTTCTTTCAATCTGAGGTTTCACCAATTGCATTACTTAGTTGGTCCAAAAAAGTCCCCTTTCCATATTTTGATGCCAAATTGGCAGGTTTACTTGGCATCCATTGGCTTAGCCTCCACGAAATGAAACCAAGCACTCAGTGACAGTCATGCAAGTGTCTGGATTGTTACCATATTATCTTTTCATTTTTGGAAGGGGTCGTGTCTGCTGGTGGTTAAGAGACAACAGGAGGATCACAACTCTCACTCATCAGATGAGAATGCCTCAAAATCAGGGTCCTCCTTAACACAATCCTCTTTCTGTTACTTGTTGTTACTTCCACTGGCAAAGAGCTTCTCCAAAACCTCATGGACATTAAACCGTATCCCAGAGGACATTTTCAAGTGAACGAGCATGCCAATTGCAGTATACATAGAGTACAACGTGGAATGATTTGGGTAGAGGGCTGTTGTGCAAGCTTCTATATGTTTGCTCCTCCCTTATTTTGCATGAACTAGTTATATCGTGCTTCATTTATGGCAGCATTCAGTACATCGCATTTTTTTTTCCAAAGTACTGTATTCAGAAAAAAAAAATGCAAAATGACTCCGAGGTTTTGTACACGCCTGTATGCATGGTTTGTTCCCGGTGCAATATCGACCAATGACAGCACGAGTGGATTTATCCCGTGAGCTGATTGGCTGCGCATCGTCGCAGCCCTGCCCAGCACCTTCCCTTGTGTCTTGTCACGCTTTGATTCTGATCGTTCGCGTGCCTCTCTCTGGCATACTGTCTCCTAATTTGTGTTTGCTACGTGTGTGTGTGGGGGTGGGGGGGGTTGATGATTGGGCTTCACCGAAAGTAGCAGCACGTTTCTCTTCACCTCTCTCTTCACCATGTTATGTCCCAGTGGAGGGAAACTCAACTCAACTGTATTTATAGAGCACTTTACAACAACCATTGTTGTATGCAAAGTGCTGTACATGGAGCAGAAACCTTGGGACATATGTGTGGGTGCTCCCCCAGTCTTCTCACGCCCAGAAAGACCAACGGCATCAGTCAATTGAGTTCATAAGGAGCCATTCTATTGGCTTCAGATGGAGTATAGGCCAACATAACAAACAAAATAAAAACACCCTGAAACTTCCCGAAACAAAAAGAGGGAAATAAAAGACAAATAGCTGACTAACCTCCTACAAAGGAAAAACAGGAGAAAACGCGTTAAAACAAAAATGGCTTCCCCCTCCTTTGACTGCTCTGCTTGAATAAATATTTACAGATATTTACAGGTATTTACAAAGGTTGTGTTCTAACTTGAAACATTTCCTACAAAGTCTACACAAAGCACAAAGTAGGTGATTGCTACGTAAAAGCAGTTGACAAGGCCATGCATAACCAAGCACTTTGCTGGCATTTCCTACTGGTGGAAAGGCTGGAGAGGAGAGAAAGTGCAGGTGGTGGGCTTTTTAAATAAGTCAGGGGGCCCACTCCTTGACCAATCACTTAACAGCAATCAAGTGAAGTTGAATGGGCAACGCTTGCTCCTAATTAATGCAGTCAGGACAAACGCACATCAAAACGCACGTGGCTCGGGGCGTGGCGGGCTTAAGAGGGATGTTGTTTAAAACATGAAGAGAACCTTGATTGCCCAGCGGGTAATTGTCGATCACTTGCACCGTGTGGGTGTGGCAGTTGAGGTACAGGTGAGATGATCAAAGAATGACTTCATTCTGCATGCTTTGCACAGAGACACTCTGCTAAAGACAAACAACCACCGCTAATTTAGTGCCGCAAAAACTTCTGGAATGAAAGCGTTTTGGGAGCATGGCCTAGCCTCCATGCAGTGGGCAAGTCAAATTTATTTATATAGCCCTTAATCACAGAAATGGCTTACAGGGATTCACATGCCCACAGTTGACAAATCTTAACAACATCCCCTGATCTAAACCCCCAGGAGGGTAAGGAAAAACTAAAAAAAAAAACAAGACAGGTGTGCATCTGTGTTATGTGATATTGTGGCATACCTATTCAGAATAATGAAAACAAATGATGGATTGTATTTATTTCCACTAGACCTTGCACGAAGAGACCATATACAGTGGTACCTCTACTTATGTACGTCGCTTCATACGCACTTTTCAAGTTACGAAACGCCTCAACATGAAAATATTGCCTCTTGTTATGAAAGAAATTTCAAGATACGAAAAGGTAAAAAAATACAGTATGGGCTGCTACTCGCAGCTCCGAGTTTCCCGAACTCAACATACTTATAGCTGCTCTGCCATTGGCTCTTACCGAGCATCCTGGCATCCCATTGGCTAAGAGGGACCTCTACCATATATGTCTATGTGTGTAGATAGATCGATAAATAGGATAGATATGTCTCTCTACAGCATCCTCGTCATTCGCCCCTGGGGCCATGAGGCGTTCGATAGTTTTACGTAAATGCGAATCATCCAGAAAAAGTGTTCACCAGTCGGGCGATCGCTCACTATGCTGATATTTTTCTTGGTCTTTTTCGAAGGATTGTTAAAAGCCGACAAAAGCAAACACCCCTCGGATCAGTTCTTTACAAAACGGCAGGCAAAAAACACTTCTGAGAGAGAACATGAACTAAAGAGGGCAAGAAAAAACAATGAGGGTGCACTTAAAAGTTAAATGACCATTTTTATTCTTTCGTCTTGTCTTTGTTTTTACATTATGCACAAATGTGCAATATTCTAATTGTAACATGTATTTGTTCCATATTTTGATGCATTTTTATGCTTTAGAAAACATTTATGTCTGAATTTTGGGGGGGCTTGGAACAGATTAGGACATTTACATGGAAAATGTGTCTCTACTTACAAAATTTTCTTGTTACGAAATTTCTTCCAGAACCAATTAATTTTTGTAAATGGAGGTACCACTGTACTGAATTGTCATGTCCTTGTTTATGATAATAATAATAATAATAATACATTTTATTTTTAAGCGCCTGTCAAAACACTCAAGGACACCTTACAATCAAAACAAGAACAATAAAACCACAGATAAAATTATAAATAATAAAAGGAGAGATGAATTTAAACTGAGTATGCAATTTTAAATAGGTGGGCTTTGAGATGTGATTTTCAATGTGGGAAGAGAATCAATATTTCGGATGTTGGGTGAGAGTGAGTTCCAGAGTTTGGGGGCAGAGCGGCTGAAATCTCTGCACCCCATCGTGCTGAGACGGGCAGAGGGTACACAAAGGTGGAGGGAGAATGAAGACCTGAGGGAACGAGAGGGAACGGAAATTTGAAGAAGGTCAGACCGATGGGGGCACGGTTATGGATGGCTTTAAATGTATAGAGGAGTATTTTGAAGTTGATTCTAAGATTGACAGGGAGCCAGTGGAGCTGTCGGAGGATGGGGGTGATGTGATGAAAGGAGGGGTTCTAGTGATGATCCGGGCTGAAGAATTCTGGACCAGTTGAAGTTTATGGAGGAATTTCTGATGGACACCGAAGAGGAGTGAATTGCAATAATCGATACAGGAGGTGACAAGGCTGTGGACAAGGATAGCAGTGGTGTGGGGAGTGAGAGAGGGACGGAGACGATTGATATTACGAAGGTGGAAATATGCGGACCGGGTTATGTTATTTATGTGGGAATGGAAAGATAGAGAGCTATCAAGGATGACACCCAGGCTCTTAACCCGAAGGGAGGAGGACACGGTGGAGCTATCAATTGTGAGGGAGAAACTGTTGGTTTTGTGTAGGGTGGATTTGGTACAGTAAGCAGGATTTGACCAGAACTGTGGGGAGGGGATCTAGCTGACAGGAGGAAGTCTTGGATTTGATAATGAAGTCTGAGATTATTGAGGGATGGGGGAGTTCAAAAGAGGATAACAGTCGACAAGGAGTAGGGAGGTCGGAGGGTGGGCAGGGGTACAGAGGAGCCCAGGTGCTGGTGGATTTTGTTGATCTTTTCAGTGAAAAATAGGAGCAGAGCGTTACAGGCGTCAGAGGAATAAAAGTGGGGGGGTAGGGAGACAGGTGGGTGAATGATTTTGTTCCAGAGAGAAAAGAGAGTCTTAGAATTTCCAGTATTTGAGCAGATGAGTCCAGAGTAGTATTATGATTTAGCTTGAGAGATGGAGTCCTTGATGATACTAGTGTAGCCTGTGCTACCGGAAAAGAAATTCCTTGTGTGTTCTGCATACTTGGCCAATAAAGATGATTCTTATTTAAATTTTGTTTTCTAACGGCGCAAACGTCTCCTCTACCACCCCCTACAGGCCATCGACAAGTACTGCAGGGTGAGTGGAGGCTTCTCGGGCGTGAAGGACGTCTACTCTTCGAACCCGACGTACGATGACGTGCAGCAGAGCTTCTTTTTGGCGGAGACGCTCAAGTAAGCTCATAGACTGTTGAGTGCATGCCAAAGCAACATGTAGTGCTCGATCGTTGAACCAAAGGCCATTTTAACTTTTGTCAGAAGCCTTTTCTCGAAAAGATACAAAAACAGCACAAACCACGCGATTAAAAAAAAAAAACATAAAAGTGCTCATCCCGTCTCGATATCTTTCACACAGACGTCATCCGAGGAAAAAAAGAAGGCCTGTGTAAAAGAGGTTCTATATTCCTTTCTGCTGCTCGGATTAATGGCACCCGCCGTGCTCGTTTGAGGGTGAAAGTGATAGCATGCTAGGATTGCTGTTAACATTTTGCTAAATTACTCATGTATTACTTATTTCAGACATACATGTGAGCAAATACCCCTTTTAAAGTAGCTTCTCTGTACCCTGGCACCTATTATTTTATTATTTGCAAACACAGCGAGGTCTGTTGGTATTGTCAGTTATTTTGCATCACTCTCGTAACTCATGTGTGTGATCTTTTTTTTTTTTTCTCCCTGTCGGCTAGGTATCTGTACCTGCTCTTTTCTAGTGACGATCTAATGCCGTTGGAAAGTTGGGTCTTCAACACAGAGGCTCATCCGCTTCCTGTGCTCCACCTGGGCAACATCACCCTGCCGGGCAGTGAGCCGTCACAGCAGTGAACAGGTCTCCCCCTGCCCGCCCGACAATAAACACTGGACTGACTTTTATCAGGTTCTTCAGATGTGGACCATATCGGAGCTTGAGAACTCCCTGATAACTCTGGTGCTCCAGAGTGGACACGTTTCGTTTTTGTTCCAATGTTTGGGGTTTGTTTGACCAAACTCTTTATCTTCCTCTCTTTAATAGGGACGCACCAGTTGAATGGGAACTGTTGCTTTCACGGCCACAATCTTGGCGGCCGTCTTCTTTTTTGAGCAGATGTGGATCTTTCAGAGCAGACAACAGAGCAACAGTCTGACTGGCTGTATCATCAATTCAGCCAAAAACACCTCCCCCACCACACCCTTCAATGAAAAAAAAAACTGCTGCTACGCTATAATTGGATGCTGCTTTTTTGGCTCTTCCCACTTTTGTTTTTTGTTTTTTTTAATCTACCCCTTTTCCGTCTGTTCTGCTTCATCTGTTGTTTCCGGGCGGAATCAGTCGCACCATCATCTGACTCTTTGGCCGCCACCTTTCTTCATCGTTCAAAATATTTTGTCATCTCCTGCCTTTGTATCCATCAACGTTATGCTATCATCAGCGTTCTGAAATGAGGTAAATCGAATTCGAGGTCCTGTGGTCTGTGGTTTTCCATCTTTAAGATGACTTGTTCATGAGTTTATATCCATCGTTCCTGACTTCCTCTCACATCATTCATTTCTTTTGGGTTAAGGAAGTTACTTGCTGCGAGTCTTTTTTTTCACCCCCCCAACCTTGTTACAATAAGCCAGAAAATCTTCTGTGAAAGCTGACAACTTGACCAAGTCAAGATATTGCTCTCGGCTAATTTGCAGTTATTCATGGTTGAAACTTGAGATGCAAATGCCATCCCTGGCTGAAACTACAGCAAGCGACACGGATCATTTTAAATGCAAAATAATCAACTAACAGCACTCACAATATCATATTTTTTCTGTTTAATTCAATTGTCAAGAAATTATAATGCCCCTTTCTTTAGTGACTTGGAAGTTGCTTTGGCAAAACCTTTCTTGAAGGTGAATTCAAAGATCGATGAGGGGGTAAAAAAAATAGGACTGTGGATTTGACTGTATTACGTTGAGTCAAAATCATACTTTTGCAAACATTTGCTTGTACTTTAGAAGAGAGCGATGAACATTTTGGGCTATTTTCTGACATGTTATAGACCAAAGCATTAACTCAATCTTAATGTGTGCATTTTCTCTAATCAATTTGAAATAATGTCCTGTTTTTTAATACAGGGATGGAAAGAAAAGCTTTTTCTTTAAAAATCTGATCCATTCATGAATCAACAAAATAATATCGAAAATATCTGATTATTAAAATACTCATTAGTTGCAGACCTAATTGAGTTTCAATCACATTCAGTGATGGTTGTATGTAGATAAGTCTTGAATTGAGCTCAATAACCATTACTTTTTTTTTCAATTTGAAATAATGTCCTGTTTTTTAATACAGGGATGGAAAGAAAAGCTTTTTCTTTAAAAATCTGATCCATTCATGAATCAACAAAATAATATCGAAAATATCTGATGATTAAAATACTCATTAGTTGCAGACCTAATTGAGTTTCAATCACATTCAGTGATGGTTGTATGTAGATAAGTCTTGAATTGAGCTCAATAACCATTACTTTTTTTTGTCCTGTTTTAATTATTTTGATTTATTTTTTAATTATTTATTATTAATTAATTAATACATTAATTATTAATTAATAATTATTTTACTTAATTTGATTAAGCCTTATCGTCTGATGTGACACAGTTGTGCCAATACCATGCTCTTTTACTGTCAGACGTTATGAATTCTTTTTTATTTGAGGGGGTTCTTCAAGTTCAGAACTGTGAAGTGAAACAGATTGACGCAGGACTGAAATGACGACCTTACAGTTAAAATGTTAATGGGATTTTCTGAATGTGACTTTTTAAAGCAAACTGAATCGAGCTGTGACTTTGTTTAAAAAAAAAAAAAAAAACGGCTACACATTGTCGCTTTTCAGTGAAAAGCATGTATCCCCAGATGTTCTGAGGTTTTGTTTTTTTGTTTTTTCTCAAATCCATAAAATGACAAATGACCTTTCCTGGCATTTCAGATGAAAAGATAATCCAAAATTCTGAGAAATGTATTTTCAGTTAGACAGTGACACCATGCATTATTGGGATCCCTGTGTGCAAATGTAAATTTGTGGGATTTTCTTGTTTGTTAAATTATTATTATTTAAAGTAAAAAAAAATCCACTATTTCTTAATTTGGAGGAAGTGCATCCATTTTGTTGCGTTCATTTCAAGTATGCGTTCATTTTCATGATGTCCCACACCTTCCTCGTTCATCACTTTCAGAATCCTGTCAACCATGTAGCCGCAGCGAGCCAACCAATGAGTGACTGTGTTCTCTCTTTGTATTTTTACTTCACTACAAAGAAAAGGTGTGTGTAAATATGTTGAAAAGTCAACACAAAATTCAATAAAGTTGTTGCTACAAGTGCGGAGGGACTTGAGTTGTTTTGATGGTGTGAATGTTGGCTTTGGTAAATCTGTGATGTTTGCTTTTAAACTTGTCTTGCAATGACAAATACAGTCAGATAAATGAGGTTGTTACATTTTGTTTCACATTTTAGTCTTAATTAGGATGTTTTGGTTTTTTTATATATTTTACACTCCCACTTTTCTCAGGAGTCAAGAACTGAACCTGGCCACAAAAAAAAAAAAATTACCTATAATAATAGTCCGGGGGTGTCACACTCATTTTTTTGGCTAAATACAGTAAGTGTATGATCGTCTTATATTATCACAACACAACAAATTGCTGGGTAACGAGTGTTGAAATCACCCATCCGTCCATTTTCTGATCCGCTTCTCCTCACAAGGGTCGTGGGGCATGCTGGAGCCTATCCCAGCTGTCTTCGGGCAGCAGGCGAGGTACACCCTGAACTGTTTGCCAGCCAAACGCAGGGCACACACAGACAAACAACCATTCGTGAGCACAATCACGTGTAGGGACAATAGAGAATGTTCCATTAACCTGCCATGCATGGTTTTTGGAATGAGGGAGTAAACCGGAGAAAACCTACACAGACACAGGGAGAACATGAAAAACGCCACACAGGAGCCAGAATCAAACCCTGCAACTCTGCATCGTGAGGCCGACGGACTAACCAGCCGACCACCGGGCCGACTGTTGAAATCACATATCTCTGGTAAAGGGGGATTAGTAACAAAAAATACTTGCAATATCATTTATCTCAGTATTGTTAAAGGGAAAAATATTTTCAAGAGTCATTAAGTCGGTGCACATAATTAGCCTTCGTGGGCCACGTCAAATGCTGTTACAGGTCAGATCTGGGGCCCCAGGCCACGAGTTTGAAAACGTGTGCTTTACTTAAGTATAGCATAAACTTTGATCCCAAAGCACTTATATATAATTTAAAACTCAGAAAAATTAATTTCTTCCATATGGTTTGGTCATTAAAAATGTACCCGCAGGTGCAAGGATGCTGGCTATTGTAAAAATAGCCTGTAAATAACCTGTGAAAATAGCACCTTTGAAACCATTAGGAGCCCTCAATAGTTCATTTGAACTTTTGAATACCCAGTCAGCAGAGTAAAAACATACTACACATCTCCTAACAACCCACGCTAAACTTACCTCCTCCCTGACAGTCGAAGATGAACATTTGAGATGCATTGTTTGAACATACTCCTTTGACACCAATTACTACAGTGCTTTCCTTTTAGCAAGGGTCACAGGAAGAGCCCAAAAATACAGATTCCGCGAATAGCTCAGGATAAGCGCCACAGAATAAATATCACAAATATGTAGATCAATTCTTGACTTGTGAACCACAAATAGTCGAGGGTTCCTTATGCTACAAAATGTATAACCATTACTTTTTTTTGTCCTGTTTTAATTATTTTGATTTATTTTTTAATTATTTATTATTAATTAATTAATACATTAATTATTAATTAATAATTATTTTACTTAATTTGATTAAGCCTTATCGTCTGATGTGACACAGTTGTGCCAATACCATGCTCTTTTACTGTCAGACGTTATGAATTCTTTTTTATTTGAGGGGGTTCTTCAAGTTCAGAACTGTGAAGTGAAACAGATTGACGCAGGACTGAAATGACGACCTTACAGTTAAAATGTTAATGGGATTTTCTGAATGTGACTTTTTAAAGCAAACTGAATCGAGCTGTGACTTTGTTTCAAGAAAAAAAAAAAAACGGCTACACATTGTCGCTTTTCAGTGAAAAGCATGTATCCCCAGATGTTCTGAGGTTTTGTTTTTTTGTTTTTTCTCAAATCCATAAAATGACAAATGACCTTTCCTGGCATTTCAGATGAAAAGATAATCCAAAATTCTGAGAAATGTATTTTCAGTTAGACAGTGACACCATGCATTATTGGGATCCCTGTGTGCAAATGTAAATTTGTGGGATTTTCTTGTTTGTTAAATTATTATTATTTAAAGTAAAAAAAAATCCACTATTTCTTAATTTGGAGGAAGTGCATCCATTTTGTTGCGTTCATTTCAAGTATGCGTTCATTTTCATGATGTCCCACACCTTCCTCGTTCATCACTTTCAGAATCCTGTCAACCATGTAGCCGCAGCGAGCCAACCAATGAGTGACTGTGTTCTCTCTTTGTATTTTTACTTCACTACAAAGAAAAGGTGTGTGTAAATATGTTGAAAAGTCAACACAAAATTCAATAAAGTTGTTGCTACAAGTGCGGAGGGACTTGAGTTGTTTTGATGGTGTGAATGTTGGCTTTGGTAAATCTGTGATGTTTGCTTTTAAACTTGTCTTGCAATGACAAATACAGTCAGATAAATGAGGTTGTTACATTTTGTTTCACATTTTAGTCTTAATTAGGATGTTTTGGTTTTTTTATATATTTTACACTCCCACTTTTCTCAGGAGTCAAGAACTGAACCTGGCCACAAAAAAAAAAAAAATTACCTATAATAATAGTCCGGGGGTGTCACACTCATTTTTTTGGCTAAATACAGTAAGTGTATGATCGTCTTATATTATCACAACACAACAAATTGCTGGGTAACGAGTGTTGAAATCACCCATCCGTCCATTTTCTGATCCGCTTCTCCTCACAAGGGTCGTGGGGCATGCTGGAGCCTATCCCAGCTGTCTTCGGGCAGCAGGCGAGGTACACCCTGAACTGTTTGCCAGCCAAACGCAGGGCACACACAGACAAACAACCATTCGTGAGCACAATCACGTGTAGGGACAATAGAGAATGTTCCATTAACCTGCCATGCATGGTTTTTGGAATGAGGGAGTAAACCGGAGAAAACCTACACAGACACAGGGAGAACATGAAAAACGCCACACAGGAGCCAGAATCAAACCCTGCAACTCTGCATCGTGAGGCCGACGGACTAACCAGCCGACCACCGGGCCGACTGTTGAAATCACATATCTCTGGTAAAGGGGGATTAGTAACAAAAAATACTTGCAATATCATTTATCTCAGTATTGTTAAAGGGAAAAATATTTTCAAGAGTCATTAAGTCGGTGCACATAATTAGCCTTCGTGGGCCACGTCAAATGCTGTTACAGGTCAGATCTGGGGCCCCAGGCCACGAGTTTGAAAACGTGTGCTTTACTTAAGTATAGCATAAACTTTGATCCCAAAGCACTTATATATAATTTAAAACTCAGAAAAATTAATTTCTTCCATATGGTTTGGTCATTAAAAATGTACCCGCAGGTGCAAGGATGCTGGCTATTGTAAAAATAGCCTGTAAATAACCTGTGAAAATAGCACCTTTGAAACCATTAGGAGACCTCAATAGTTCATTTGAACTTTTGAATACCCAGTCAGCAGAGTAAAAACATACTACACATCTCCTAACAACCCACGCTAAACTTACCTCCTCCCTGACAGTCGAAGATGAACATTTGAGATGCATTGTTTGAACATACTCCTTTGACACCAATTACTACAGTGCTTTCCTTTTAGCAAGGGTCACAGGAAGAGCCCAAAAATACAGATTCCGCGAATAGCTCAGGATAAGCGCCACAGAATAAATATCACAAATATGTAGATCAATTCTTGACTTGTGAACCACAAATAGTCGAGGGTTCCTTATGCTACAAAATGTATACACAATACAGCACCCCCCCACCACAAAAAAAAAAAAAAACATTCTTAAAAGGCACTCTGACGTTTAAGCAACATAAACGTAACAAAACAGAATATGTTCAACATTTATCATTTCAAAACAGTACAATTAATGTTTTATCACATAATTTATCTTTTACTTTTTTTATCTTTTTGGGCAAGAAGAGGGCACCATAAACAAATTGCCGCTCAAAAGGCAAATTTTATATAAAGAGTTTTAATGTTTATTATGCGGGTATATCACGAGATATTTAAGTGATTGTCTTTTGTTTCAGTTCAAAATCAAATTTAGCGTATGTGGTTTTAGCATTAATACTTTTGGTCTCATTGTGTACAAACTGGCTTTCAGAAAGTTCCCTGTATGTCGAAATTACTCAGCAGATGCCCCAACCAGTTAGCAGTGACAACGCAGACTTCTCTCTGACGTGAGGGCTGCCAACAGGTGCGTTACCATGCGGACTTTCCCACAGTGCCTTTTCGCTGCTACTGCATATCTCCCCTGTCCTACAAAATTTATGGGCAGTAAAAATCCAGCCTTGAATCCAACTGTTGTGGTCCTGTACGTCAATCCTATAATACGTACGTCTGCCACTGAATTTGTTTTCACATTGCAACAGGATACTTGGAAGATATGTTTACTCATGCACTAACTACTTGTGCCAAAATACCGCCTTAATTATAATGATTATAGACTTAATATTTTCATCAAGTTGACGCGAGCACCGTTTTTATGAGCATGGAGCACCAGGAAGTAAAAAACAAAACTGCTGTGATAAAAGAAGATGAACTTGAAGTGATGTCACAGGAAGTTGTGAGCTGTTCGTGGCCTGACTCAGTTACCGAGAACAGATAAGGTCACAGTGCAACCGCTAATGGATTACTTTGTGTTTGCACGTGGTCTTAAGAATGTGTCTGAGTGTCTGTGTGTGTGTGTGTGTGTGTGTGTGTGTGCGTGCGCACGCGTGTCTGTGTCTGTGTGCGTGTTTAATATGTTAATGGACTTGGTCCATTGGGAATAATGAAAATTAGAATTTAACCATTCCAGTCTCCAACTATGGCCAATGATAAAACCTTCATCAAATGTGCAGGCAATATTTTTACACTTTTTAATTTTTCATTTACCATACCCGCATTGTACGTTCCAAATCAATTTTGACCAAGGCCAAGATTATCCTCATGATAATTGGCTATTGCGAAATAAAGTAATTTCAAAATGTATTAAGCACCCGTCTCACTTTAATAATGAGGATGATTCATCCTTAAATGATGTTGCACAGAAAATGGAATGGACTTTTTTTTTTTTTTTTTTTTTTTTACATGACCGGTTAGATAAAAACGATCTACTGTGAAGCAATGTAATGTCCTATTCTCCTTAGATGTGTGCGTGTATGTGTGTGTCGAGGGGGGGTGATAAGTGGCATCTGCGTTCTGCTCCTTGTGTTTTGTTGGTATGATCATGTGATGTGTTTCACTCATTCACCGTTTAGATTTTATTCCCCACGACCCTTCACAGACCAACAGGTGCAGGGACAATGCGATGGGAGTGCAGACAGCTTTCAGAACTGTTCAAAATCCTGCTTGAACACTTACCACTGTCCCATTTAAAAAAAAAAAAAACACGAGTAAATATATTGTCCTGATAATTTAGTAGACACAGGCCTCACTATACACAAACTTTGTAGCACCTGTTCCAAAGATTGCTGTCAAATTTCCCATGTAGATATTTCAAGGTTAAGTGGCATTCAGGTTCACTCTCATACAACTGATTGGGAGTTGGGATAGAAATAAAATAAAACAAAAAGACCAGTGTTATACAGCCTACTAAAAATAATGGTCTGTTGCCTGCAGAACCACCTCCAGATCAACCCCAGGAAAACTAAGGAGTTGGTTGTGGATTTCTGTAGGAAACTGTCTTCACCTGCACCGATGAACATCCAGGGTACGGACATCGAGAGGGTGACCTCCTACAAGTACCTGGGTGTTCTTCTCAAAAATAAACTAGACTGGTCTAACAACACGGACGCTCGGATCAGGAAGGGGCAGAGCTGGCTCTTCCTACTCAGAAAACTGAGGTCTTTTGGAGTTCAGGGGTCACTCCTTAAGACCTTCTATGACTGTGATGGCCTCAGCCATTCATTATGGCTTAGCCTGCTGGTCAGGCAGCATCTCAATCTGGGACTGAAACAGACTGGACCGACTGGTCAGGAGGGCCAGCTCTGGCCTGGGCTGCTCCCTGGACACTCTGGAGTATGCTAGCCAAGCTAAAAACTATGATGGACAGACCCTCCCAGCCCCTCCAGGCCACCCTGACAGCGCTGGGCAGCTCCTTCAGCCGGAGACTGACACACTCGCGCTGCAAGAAGGAGAGGTACCGCCGCTCGTTCCTGCCAACTGCTGTTAGCTTATTGAATAGACACACCTGAAAACCTGGACTCACCCCCACTCACCCATTTTTAATATGCTTATATTTATATTTTATAATTTATATTTATATACTTGTTGTTCTTCTACTTCTCCCTTTCATCATTTTGCTGCTGTAAATTGGGAATTTCTCCATTGTAAGACAAATAAAGGTTTTTTTATCTTATCAAAACCTAATGTGTACCTCACGTCATGTTTTGTATTTTGTAAGTTGAAAACAACGTGGTATAAATGGCCACTGAGTGTTTTTATTACATTAGCACAACATGAAAGAGAACACAATCGACGGTCTCTACATAGTCAGGGATTTCCCATGCTGCTGATTCGCTTCCTCTTCTGCTGGCTGACTC